GATGAGGTCTCGCCAAGTTGCCCAGGCGGGTCTCAAACCCATGGGCTCAGACAATCCACTTGCCTCAGCCTCCCAAAGCGCGGGATAACAGGCTGAGCCACCAAGTCCGGCAACTGAGAAATTTTTAAAACATGCATTAAGTTATTTAAAATTGTAATATGTATGTTAACATAAGTAGTATTTTAATAAGCAGTAACTATATTATTCATAATAAAAAAGTGTAGGGAGAATGTTGGCACTGTTTTACATAGAAGCTGGCTGGATGCTATCTGCTTCCACAGTCGGTCTGTCCTGAATCATATAGCACCGGGAAAGTTCCAACATGCCCTCGTGAGAGAAAAGAGGCAACTGACATCTCAGTCTTAGCATGAAGATAGCTTTGACTTCACGAACCCACGAAAGGGTCTCAACTTGCAGAACCACTGCCCGAAGCTGAGTGAGTGAAGGCTGGGACAAGGCCGCAGGTCACTTGAGTCCACCTCGAGCTCCAAAAACAGGCATGAGGAGTAGGTGCGACATGCTCCCAGCCCTGGGCATGTCCGCAGCAGGCTCTCAGCCGCCAGTCACCATGTCAGTAAGCCCCATTTTCTCTAACACCCGTACACATATGCATCTAAGCAGCTGCAGAGGCTTCATAGAAAACACCTCTCGCCAGGCTCGGTGGCTCAGCCTGTAATCCCGCGCCTTTGGGAGGCCGAGGTGAGTGGATGGCCTGAGCCCGCGGGTTCGAGACCCGCCTGGGCAGCGAGACCTCATCTCTACAATACGTCAAAAAATCAGCCGGGCGTGGTAGCACACGCCTGTAATTCCGGCTACTCAGAAGGCTGAGGCGGAAGGATTGCCGGAGCCCACCAGGTCGAGGCTGTGGTGGCGGGGAGCGGCCACTGCACTCCAGTCTGGGCGAGAGTGAGATTCCAACTCAAAAAAAAAAAGAAAAAAGAAAACACCTCTCTCGCATCTGCAAACCCAGGGCACGCATGCACCTGGAACGACTGGAGGGCCCACCGCTGTCAGCAGCAAGTGTATGCTACACATCAGGTCGTCCTCTAGGGCTCAACGGCTCCTAACTCTGATTCTGACTATCTTTGATAATCTGATGTATTATCAAAGTGTCTAAAGTTTTTATGAGTCTTTTGCCTGATCATAAAGCAACTACACACTCACTGCAGTACACTTTGAAAACACAGAAAAGTATAAAGAAAATTTCACATATTACTTATATACTTAAAAAAACAGTCAAAAAGAAAAGTCATCTGTAACCCTGCCAACTTGAAATGCATAATTAACATTCCTGTTTATCTCCTACTGGCTTTTTCTATGCACTTTTGCAAAGTTAAGATCATGTTGTGTACACGCAATTGTGTTTTTTACTTAATACACTCCTTTTCTTGCTTTAATAAAAATGCTTCCTAGGATTTTTAAATGCCTGCATAATAGCTCATGGTTTAGGCAACAATATTCCCAAGAGCCATTTAGATGACTTGGTGAAAAGGTGGGAGCCAGCTGGGTGCAGTGGCTCAAGCCTAGAATTCCAGTACTTTGGGATTGCCTGAGCCCACGGGTTGGAGAACAGCCTGAGCAACATGTGAGACCCTGTCTCTACAAGAAATCAAAAAATTAGCCGGGTGTGGTGGCGCACACCTGTAGTTCTGGCTTCTTGGAAGGCTGAGGCAGAGGGATCTCCGGAGCCCAGTAGGTCGATGCTGAGGTGGCCGTGAGCGTGCCACTGCACTCCAGCCTGGGCAATGGAGTGAGACTCCGACTCAAAAAAAAGAAAAGGGGGGAGGGAACATATCCAACAACGGTGGCTAAGTAAACTAGGTTACATTTGTTCAGTGGAATACTACCTAACCATCAAAAACGATGCGGGAAATATGTATGCATTCATTCACTCCTCCCTTCAACAACCATCCATCTTTCGTGTAACCACTGCCGGCCAGCCCTCAGAGTGAGCACTAGGAACAAAGTAAGCTGGCAGGGGAGCAGCCACTAAGGGAAAGAGCAACCGCGGCCCCTCCCAAGGGCTCTGAAGTCGGTAAGTAAGATGCTCTGCTGGAAAAACCGGGTGTGGGCAGCCTTCTTCAACAGGGGCCACGAAAGGCCACTCTGAGGAAGGTGGGCCTGACGAGGAAGAGGCAGCCAAGACTGGGGACAGGCGAGGACAGCACAGCGGCTTGATGTGGAAGGAGGAGCACGGGCTGGGCACTTTCTGGAAACTGAAGATGGCCGTCGTGGATGAGGCCTTGCAGCCTCGACACAGAGTAGGACTCTATCTCCAGGGCGCTGGAAAGCCACGGAAGGCAGGACGCCACCTGATGCGCTGCAGAGACGGGGCTGGGGTAGGAGGGGAGGGAAGAACAGAAGCAGAGAGTGGAAGGCAGGCCTTCGTGGCCGTCCAGGCATGAGTGGCGCTGTGGAGAATGGTGATGAATGGCTGGACTTGGCATGTATGTTGCAGATGAAACCGGCAGGGCAAGGGGACGAGCTGGATGTGGGGAAAGAAAAGAAATGGACAGCTCCTGGGGTTCTGGTGTAGGCAGAGACACGAGCGTAGAGACCTTCAGAGAGACTCAGAGGGGAGGTATCCAGGAGAACGCCAGGGGCTCTCTTGTGAGATGGGCACGATGCACCCATGGGGAGCTGTGGGGTGGGTATCCCAAGGCAACGCTGGCGCTCGGAAGGACAGCCTCTGCTAGAATGAACCGCTGGGGGGCTGTCACCAGAGGCAGGAGGCAGGGTTGGAGAAAGGGACTCCGACAGTAAGATGGGGTGCACACATGGTCTCGCGGTGAAATCAGAAGGATGGGAGACTATGGGACTATGGGAGAGGAGGCAGAGAAGACAGACTATCTCCACAGCTCTTTTAAGAAGTTCTGCTGAAAGAGGTAGCAGAGAAAAAGCATGAAAGCTAACATGGTAGACAGAGATGTGAAAGCCAGGTAGGGTTGGTTTGTTCTTAAAGGTGTGAGAGATTAGAGCTTTTTTTTTTTTTTAAGAGACAGGGTCTCTCTGTTGCCTAGGCTGGAGTGCAGTGTTGCAATTATAGCTCATTGCAGCCTCCAACTCCTGGCCTCAAATGATCCTCCCACCTCAGCCTCCCAAAGTTCTGGGATTATAAGTGTGTACCACCACTGCTGACCTAGAACATTTTTTATGATACTGGCAATAAACCAAAAGGGAAGGGCAGACTAGTGATGCAGGAAAGGATGGATCACTGGAAGACTGAGCTCCCTGAGGAGGAGGAAGCGTTTAGAGCCAAGACACAAGAGGAGAGCCTGACCTGGGACAGGAGGCAACTACCACATGGCACCCTGTGGGAAGGAAGGAGGGAACTTGCCAACGGGCTTGGCGACCTGGTGGCAGAGGTGAGCGGTTTCCTGGTTGGAGACCAAAGTCATTGGCTAAGAGCGGGGGAGTATACGTTAGATTTGAAGGAAAAAGTTACCACATATCTTCCTGGAGACTGGGAAAGTGAATTTAATACAGAAATGTCTTAACATTGATGGACAGTACTAGGGCTAATTTGAAGTTCAGGACCATGAACTTAAAGTGAAACCAGGCAGCTTGTGTGTTTTTTTTTTCAACAATGTTCAGCGGCCCAGGTGCAAGAAAGAAATCTTGGTTTCAACTAAGGTTAGATTTTTCTCATATGAGTACAAAAGAGAAAGATATTCAAAATATATGACCAAGGGAGGGGGGAAAAGCATGCTATGACTATTCTTAAAGCAGATATGCATTCAAAAATTAGAAAATCTTACATCAAAATGTAATTTTTGTGCAAAAAAATTATAATTAATCTTTACTTGCCAATTTGTGTCTTCCAATATTGTCCCAGGCTTTTTGCATAGAAAAAATGCTCTAAAAATCATGTATCAGTGAACATCTTTGTGCCCAGGGCTTTTCTTAGCACAAATTATTCTTTTAGAGGACCTTTCTGGGTATGGAATAAATTAGTAAAAAGTATAAATATTCTAGACTCAGTCGGGTTTGGTGGCTCAGCCTGTAATCCCGCGCTTTGGGAGGCCAAGGTGAGTGGATTGCCTGAGCCCGCGGGTTCGAGACCCGCGTGGGCAACTTGACAAGACCTCATCTACACAATAAATCAAAATGAGCCGGGCGTGGTAGCACGCGCCGGTAGTTCCAGCTACTTGGAAAGCTGAGGCGGAAGGATCGCCAGAGCCCAGCAGGTCGAGGCTGTGGTGGTCGGGAGCGGCCACTGCACTTCAGTCTGGGCGACAGACTGAGACGCCAACTCAAAAAAAAAAAAAATTCTAGACTCTTGATAAACTCTGCTGAATTAGTTTACAAAAGTATTACTCACCCCCTCACCAGTACTGTGTGACTCTCCAAATTAACATACTAACTGATTAATACCTTGAGGTTTGTTTATTTTAACCTTTGCCACAATGACAGTGAAATACAGTGTATTTCACTGCCTTTACTTGAATTTATTGTATTACTGAGAATGAATATATATTTTTTTAATTTCGTTTCATTTAATTTTTTATTTTTTTATTTTTATTTTATTTTTTTATTTTTGAGTTGGAGTCTCACTCCGTCGCCCAGACTGGAGTGCAACGGCCACTCCCGGCCACCGCAGCCTCGACTTGCTGGGCTCCAGCGATCCTTCCACCTCAGCCTTCCAAGGAGCTGGAACCACAGGCGCGCACTACCACGCATGGCTAATTTTTTTTTTTTTTTTTGATTTATTGTGGAGATGAGGTCTCACGAAGTTGCCCAGGCGGGTCTCGAACCCACGGGCTCAGGCAATCCACTCACCTCAGCCTCCCAAGGCGCGGGATTACAGGCTGAGCCACGGAGCCCAGCTATGAATATATTTTCTTGCCACTAAACGTTAATTTAAACTCACTGGAAAAAATATTTCACTCACATCACCTTTAGATAGGGAAAAGCAGAGATATAATCACAAAAATCAAACCAAGCACCACAAGTGTTAAAAGACACACATAAGTAACTGCTGCCACGTAGTCCTTCCTATGATTGCTTCCCTCCCGCGATTCTCAGGCATATCTTTGCCTGGGTGTTGTTAACAGCCGTTCTAACCCTGCCCTACATTTGTCTAATCCAATACTGAAAAGGAAACAAGGATTAGAGCCCATTTTAGCTTTAAGAATCAAGCAGCTTGGGGTACCTCCTCCTTGCCACTAATCCCCAGCAAGCACATCTCCACTGTGAGTCCTCTGCATGGGGAAACAACAAAGCCTTCTGGAGCTTTGCTTATTTCAAACCACGCGTGTCTACAGCCAAAATGCCTGTTCTGCTTCCCACCTAGCCCACACAGATGTGTTCAAAAGACCAGGGGCAGTTCTGATTTCTCCATCATTTTGAGGACCCTGGTGGGCCTCCTTCCCTTATGGCCACATGGGTAAGAAAGCGGGTTCCGGCCATTGGCTTGCCAAGCTGGGGTGTGGCCATGTGCTCTCTGAGCTATGGCCCGGCCATGTTTTCTGGGTTGGGTCTCCTCCCCTGCCTTGGGGAGGTAAATCTCCTCTTTCTCTCTCTAATTTTTTTCCTAAATAAACGGTTTCCTAACCTGAAAAAAGAAGACAACAAAGAAGCAAGTGGGCTCCTTCTCAACCACACCTTCTAGGTCCTGAGTGACCCAAACAGCAAACCCCTCCGAATTCCTGAGCAAAACAGCAGGTGGCCTAAGATTGCTGCGACATCCTCAGGTGTACCCATTATTTCAGCCGAAGTCCCAAAACCCAGCCTCTAGCAATGGCTATAGCAGCTCCCTGTGAAGCCCACCCTCATGAGGCAGGACAACTAGCATAGCTTACAGATAGGTGAGTTCCCTGCAGGCAGGCACAGCTTAGATAATTAGGAAACTAGATGGCCAGGCTTCTGGGCACCATCTTATCAGGACAATAAGCACTTGCATCGACCAGGCACACCAGACCCAACCTTGGAATGAGGGACCCCGGCACAGTCAATTACAAAGACCAGAAACAAAGGCAATAGGGAGTTACTGGACATACCGAGGTGTGTCACTCTAACAGAAAACCTAAACAGTCACTTTTCCTATGATGTCAAAAGGTCCCCGTGAGACATGAAACAGTAAGCATTGAAACCACTGATCAACAACTTGCTGTAACCCACATAAGCCCACAAATCTTGACTTAGAAGATAGGTTGCTTAATCATCATTTTCGTCAATATATAAAGCTTTATGCTAACAGCCAGCCTGCAGCCTTTCCCTAAAGCCACCCGCATTCTCTCTTGAATGTGTCCTTTTTCTCTAATAAACTGTATTTTAAAACTCCTCAGTGACTCACTCTGAAATTCTTTGCTGTGTCGAAGACAAGGACCCAAGGAGCAACTTCACCCCGTGCTACACAGCCTAACAGCCAGGGACTCATCCCTCCACAGTGACATATGCCAGACACCCTGTGCCCAGGCCACAGTCAAACACCTGAAATGGTATGACTAATATTCGATGAGCCAGAAGCTTGGGAGAAGTTCAGCCAAAGTCCGCAAGTCCATGCACAATTCAAATACTCTGCGTTCAGCCGACCAAGCACACCACAGCCCCCAGAACAGCCACACCAGACTGGGAGGAGAAGAGCCTCTGTGCTGCTGGGAACTGAGGGAGCCCAGCCTTGAACCGCAACTCCGTCTCTTTTTCTTTTTTTTCTTTTTCTTTGAGTCGGAGTCTTACTCGGTCGCCCAGACTGGAGTGCAGTGGCCACTCCCGGCCCCCGCAGCCTCAACCCGCTGGGCTCCGGCAATCCTTCCACCTCGGCCTTCCGAGTAGCCGGAATTACAGGCACGCGCGACCACGCCCAGCTGATTTTTTGATTTATTGTAGAGATGAGATCTCGCTGCCCAGGCGGGTCTTGAACCCGCAGGCTCAGGCAACCCACTCACCTCGGCCTCCCAAAGGTGCGGGACGACAGGCTGAACCACCGAGCCCAGCTCATCTCTTTTTCAATCCCAAGTCCCACTAGGGGATGCCCAGAGCATTGTGACTCAACCGTAGAAGCTCTCCTAAAAAGCGCCCCGCTGGGTGTGATGACTCATGCCTGTAACCCCAGTTCTTTAGGGGGAGAGGGGGCTAATTGCTTGAACCCAGGAGTTTGAGACCAGCCTGGGCAACATTGTGAGAACTCATCTCTACCAAACCATTTTATTTTTAAAATTAGCCAGGAGTGGTAGCACACACCTGCAGTCCCAGCTACTCAGGAGGCTGAGGTGGAAGGATCACTTGAGCCAGGAGGTTGAAGCTGCCATGGGCTGTGGTTGATGTGATCATGCCACTGAACTCCAGCCTGGGTGACAGAATAAGACCCCTTATCAAAAATAAAGAACGAAATAAAAAACAAAAAACAAAAGGTACCCTCTTGACTGAAGCCCGAGGGTGTGGGGCACCAGGCTGGCTACTCAGCCCAAACCATTCACTCCTCGTGGTTCAGAAGAAGCGTCCGAGGGAGTGCTGAAGTCAGACAGACCAGGGTTCAGATTCAGGCACTGGCTGCCTGTGCGCCCTTGGGCATGTTTAAAATGCTTTAAGCAGCTGGGCGTGGTAGCGCACGCCTGTAATTCCGGCTACTCAGAAGGCTGAGGCGGAAGGATCGCCGGAGCCCAGCAGGTCAAGGCTGCGGTGGCTGGGGGCGGCCACTGCACTCCAGTCTGGGCAACAGAGTGAGACTCCAACTCAAAAAAAAAAAAAAATGCTTTAAGCTTCAATTTCCTCAACTGGAAAATTAAAATTGTAATATTCGAATGGCCTATTGTAAAGATTAATGAGTTAAAAAGTCTAGTCCAGTTCCTGGCACGTGCGAGGCACTCCACAAAAGGCACCTTTTGCAATGTCACGATAAAAGTATATTATTGGCTGAGCATGGTCACTTGCCTATAATCCCAGCACTCTGGGAGGCCAAGGTTGCTTGAGCCCAGGAGTTCAAGACCAGCCTGAGCAACACAGTAAGACCCATCTAATGTTTTTAAAAAGCATATTATTCATACAAAGAAAATTATGCAACATTACTTCCGCCAATCAATATATATATTTTTTGAAAGCAGGATTTATCGAGAGGACAGAAAAGCTCCCAGAATGGGAGGGGGACCTGAGAGGGTTGCCCAATATTTTTAATACAATGTAAAAATCCTCTTAAAATGAAATATCTAGTTAAAATATAGTTTTAAAATAATCACGAAAATATTCAGATAGCAAACTAGATGGGTATTTCATCAAAAATGTCAAACCTTTCTGATCTGTAATAAACATGTGAATGCATCTTTGGAATAATGGCAACACAGCACCAATGTATGTGAATCCTAAATGAAAACATAAAGTTGAACATAAACACACCTTCTCCCCTCTCTCCGAGAGGACAGAGTAGCCTCCGGCTACCTGGGAGTGAAGGCGGAAGCATAAGCAGAGGCCACAGAAGGTAAAAGGTATCCAACGTCACAACACAGGCACACAGGACTGCATTTTAAGTTGCTGTTATTGAACGTTGCTTCAAAAATTCACTTAGACAAGAAACAAAATGAGATGAGAAGGATAAAGGATTTTTACCTGCAAAAACCAAAGCTATTAGAAACATAAAAATGCTTAGTAAGGTGGCAGATATAAAAGAAACACCTAGGCCAGGCATGGCAGTTCACGCCTATAATCCCAGCACTTTGGGAGGCCAAGGAGAGAGGACTGCCGGAGCCCGCAGGTTCCAGACCAGCCTGGGCAACCTGGCAAGACCTCATCTCTACAATATATCAAAAAACTAGCTGGGCGTGGTGGCATGCGCCTATAGTTCCAGCTACTTGGAAGGCTGAGGTGGAAGGATCACCGGAGCCCAGCCGATCGAGGCTGCGGCGAGTCGCAGTGAGCCATGATCGTACCACTGCACACCAATCTGGGCAACAAATGAGACCCTGACTCAAAAAAGTGTAAGCAGGAAGTGAAATTGCCCTCCTGACTCCCACGACTGAGGGGAAACAACCACTAACAAACAGTGTCGGTGTGCCCTTCCAGATCCTTCTCTGCCACACGCAGTGTGGGAAGGCACCACATACACGTGGGGCTCCTTGGTGGGATATCATACACCTCGCTCTGCAACTGCACCGTCCACTTGACACTGCAGACACTCCCTTGTATCACGTCGCACGGCTCTACCACGTGCTTTCAAACTAGTCTTCCATAATGTGGACAAAATTTGTACAAACCTCTTTAAATACATTCCTAAGATTAACAGTCTCCACGTGGAGGCCTGTGACTGATGTAAATCAGTTTAGTGAGGACTTTCTTGTAAGTCTAAACACAAACACAGAGGATCCGTAATATTTTTTGGATCTATGAAGCAAATTTCATCCTGTGGTCTGGGAGATGAAGTATTCTACCTCTTTGGGCTGCAACATTTTTATATTGGAAAGAACCTTAGAAATCATCTGAGGTCAGGTTCCAGGTCCTCACCTGGGAGCTGAGGTACTCCCTGCAGAAGACAGCCATCCAGAGTGTGAGTAAGACACTAAGTGGTCTCTCCAGAATTAACAGAAACTGGTCTCTGGACCCACTCGAATGCCCCTCCCACAATACATACTGTCTCGCTGGCACTAGCACTGACTACACTCTGAAATTGAATCTTTCTCTGTTATGTGGCTATGACCACCTTGACACAGTAAAGCAAAGTGAGTCAACTGGGTTTGGAACCAGGTGCTTACAGTTTGATCCTTGCCCCTCCATCTACTAGCTGTGATTCTGGGCAAGTTATTAAATCTGTTTCACAATTTCCCCATCTGTAATATGGGAAGGACCACACCTGCCTCAAAGGGGTATTATGAGGATTAAATAAGCTACTGTGTATAATGCACTTAGCTCAGTGCTTACAATGGTATTTAACACTGTTGGCTATTACCATTATCACCTAGTAAGTGATACCACAGTATTTTGTCCTTCCTAGTAAGGAATAATACACACACACACATACTTTTTTCAGTCAGGGTTGCCTAGGGTAGAATACAGTGACATGATCATGACTCACTGCCGCCTCGACCTTGGCTCAGGCAATTCTCCCGCCTCAGCCTACTGAGTAACTGGGACTGCAGGTGTACACCACCATGTCCAGTTCATTTTTATTTTTTTGGAGAGATGAGGTCTCGCTATGTTGCCCAGGCTAGTCTTGAACTCCTGAACTCAAGCAATCTGCCCACCTCGGCCTTCCCAAGTGCTGGGATTATAGGTGTGGGCCACGATGCCCGGCCAGAAAGAATCCAGCAATTCCAATTAGTTTTTTATTGCTCCTCCATGGAGTTTGTAATGTTTTCTGTCTTCTAGTTTTTTTCTCTGTATACCATTTTTTATATCCATTCAACAATATTTATTGGACACCTGTTACATGCCAGACATCCTTCTAGGCACTAGAAAGACCACATGAACAAGTTAAAAAAAATGGCTGATTATAGCCGGGCTTGGTGGCTCAGCCTGTAATCCCACGCCTTTGGGAGGCCGAGGTGAGTGGATTGCCTGAGCCCGCGGGTTCGAGACCCGCCTGGGTAACTTGGTGAGACGTCATCTCTACAATAAGTCAAAAAATTAGACAGGTGCGGTAGTGAGTGCCTGCAGTTCCACCTACTTGGAAGGCTGAAGCGGAAGGATCTCCATAGTCCAGCAGGTCAAGCCACTGTACTCCAGCCTGGGCGACAGAGTGAGACTCTAAAAAAAAAAAAGCAGTCTCAAAGGCCTTTTGCAAGGACTGTTGGGGAGTCACAGCCTTCAGGGACATGCCTGGTTACATAACAATGGCTATTCCAGCCATACAAGGCTGGAAACAAGATGGATTTGAAAAAAATTCCTCCATTGACTCCTTTCCCAAACCTAGTCAAGAGTGGGGTACTTTGTGAATATACAGTTACAAACTGCTCAGATAAAAAGCTTCTGCCATCTGAAAATTCTTCTATATACTAATTTTTTTAACCAGTTTCCAATTGAGATATCACAACATTAGCCAAAATACTTTTTTTTTTTGAGTTGGAGTCTCACTCTGTCACTCAGCCTGGAGTGCAGTGGCACTCTCATGGCCGCTGCACCCTTGACCTCCTGGGCTCAGGCAATCCTTCCACCTCAGCTTCCCGAGTAGCTGGGACTACAGGCATGCACTACCACACCCGTCTAATTTTTTGATTTATTGTAGAGATGAGGTCTCACCAAGTTACCCAGGCTGGTCTTGAACCCCTGGGCTCAGTCAGTTCTCTTGCCTCGGCCTCCCAAAGTGTTGGGATTATAGGTGTGAGCCACTGCACCCAGCCCAAAATACTTTTAATAGCTCACATTAAAGAAAAAAAGTAATCGATAATTCAGTCTCAATAAGAAAAAAATTGCCCACAATAATAGAAATATCGGCCGAGCTCAGTGGCTCAGCCTGTAATCCCAGCACTTTGGGAGGCCGAGGTGAGTGGATGGCCTGAGCCTGCGGGTTCAAGACCCGCCCGGGCAACTTGGTGAGACTTCATCTCTACGATAAATCAAAATGAGCCGGGCGTGGTAGCGCGCGCCTGTAGTTCCAGCTACTTGGAAGGTTGAGGCGGAAGGATCGCCGGAGCCCAGCACATCGAGGCTGCGGTGGCCGGGAGCAGCCACTGCACTCCAGTCTGAGTGACAGAGTGAGACTCCAACTCAAAAAAAATAAAAAATTTTAAAAAAATAAAATAACAGAAATAGCTAACTTTTTTTGAGTCAGGCTTTCATTCTGTTGGCCAGGCTGGAGCGCAGTGGTACCATCACGGCTCACTGCAGCCTCCCAAGCAGCTGGGACAACAGGAGGGTGCCACCACACCTGGCTAATTTTTTTACTTATTGTAGAGACATGGTCTTACTATGTTGCCCAGGCTGGTCTCAAACTCCTGGGCTCAAGGATCCACCTGCCTTGGCCACCCAAAGTGCTGAGATTACAGGCGTGAGTCACTGAGCCTGACATATCTAGCATTAATTGAAGGTATATTTTCTTATATGTTTTACTTATTTATTTATTTATTTTTGGAGTTGGAGTCTCACTCTGTCGCCCAGACCAGAGTGCAGTGGCCGCTCCCAGCTACCGCAGCCTCGTCCTGCTGGGCTCTGGCGATCC